AAAAAAAAAACCTTATACATAGAACTTAAGTTTATCCAGTAGACGATTTCTTTAGTTTATGTATTACTAGCCTTACTCAACGTCGAGATCCTTTTATTCTAGACCCTGTTATAATGCACTTCATGCCCCTGATACATGAATAACTCCAAAGCCGGGATCGCTTGACTTTCTGGCAGTTGGCAACGTTGTGAAGAAGGAAAATGGAGAAACTATTTAAGCGTTGGGGATAGACAGTGGACACCGGTGAATACACTGACCGACATTTTTGATTATACGATATTCTAATGAATTTTAAAAACTCGTTAATTGTGATATAGGCTAATCATACAAACCTATAACATCTTCATCCCTATCAATGTATGAAAATTTCGCTTCCGGTGTGAAAACTATGCCAGGATGGCGCATATGGAATAGTGCCCAACTGGAAATATATGAAGATTTAAGTAAGATGATTATATAAAAAAATAACTTACCTATGTGCATTCATTTCACCGTGCATGCATGCTAGTGACACGCGAGCAGCCTCTAATCCAACAAAGCCACCCACCACTGTTTCTCCATGTTGCGGGATAGGTAGAATCTTCTCTTTGAATTGTATTTCTGTGACTGAATCGAGCACCTTAACTTCTTTACCATTACTAAAGTTGGCAACTGCAACAGCTTAAAAATTACTTTCTGCCAAAAATGGGTTGCGCACATAACTGATGGCGCTATCTCATCTTTGGGTTGAGAAGCAGACCCTGTATTTTTCTGCTGGATACCCCAGACCATTTTGGAGCTTTTCAGTTGTTCCTAATTAACACAACTATTAAAATTCAACAACAACAGTTTGAAAATTCAGTCACCTCAAAGAATGTCTTCAGCTTATTGACTATCTTTTGTATATCATCCACAGTTCCTCTTGTAATTACTACTTGCAAATCCTCCCATGATCCTTTCACATTCAACCGTACGCACGCGCGAATATACTAAAAAAGTTTCAATAAGTTTAATTGGATTATGGTTTCATATAAATCTAGAAAACCATCGAGACAGAATATGAAAGCTGAGATAGTATGAAAACAGACTAGTGGTTTACATGAAGGGAGAAAGGTATCCACTTGATGATCAAGAAGAAAGCGTACGCTAAGCACTATGCAGCGTCGAATGCAAAAAAAAACCTCTCCGGCTTCATTTTTCTCTCGTGAAAACTCATCTCCCAATGAAATGGCAGGCTTTTCGCAACGTCCAATTAGAATTGCTCTGCTCATCCATTCTACTTTCGCCGCCAACCAACGCAATTGAATTTTTGCTCCATTACGAGGTGGTTGCTATAGACGAAAAATTATTTATCATTCTAATATGGGAAATCCGAACACTCACATTGGCAAGACGAGCATGAGAAGCAGAAAGCAACAATCGACTCAACGCAATCTCTCCGCTTATTGCACCACCATGAGCGGACAATTCGCTCGAGTCCAGTTTAAATGTTAATGTTATGTTTCGTTCCGATCGTGAATTCAACTGAACTCAAAAATTATACTTTGCAATAGCGGCGAATATCAAGAGTGGATACTTTGGCAATAGCTCGAAGTAGGCCGCGGCGAGCTCTCCAAGATGTATTTCCCATGGTATTTGACATTTGAGCATTTACATTGAGCTCCTTCCATTG